ATTCCTCTTGATATGCAAATTATTTTGTCAAGGCGCAGTACATAATACTTACCGATGTTATTCTAACATTACAAAAAAGTTACTTATGAAATAATGCTTACCGTCTGTATTATTATTATTGTTATTATTCGCGCTATTAACCCTTTATGTATTGCTCAAGCGTAAGAAGTAACGCTGTCGGGGAACGTATCCCCAAATAGGCAATGGTAACAATGACCCGTTTAGTGCTGATTCGTCTGGCGCTCAGTTCTCCAGCAATGCGTGTTTGAACGCTAAGCGAGGTCTGCCTGTACACACAAAGATCCCCAGGTGTATCTTCTTGGTTCTTTCGGCAAAGTCACGTAGAAGGGAAGTAATAAAATAATAAAAATAAAACATAATAAAATAATTCTCACGACGTTTTTTTTTTTTAGACGCTGTCGCCTCGACAGACCTGGTCTTCACCTGAGGACGGCTGCTTGTGCTGTGGCCGAAACGTCGTGAGAATTATTTGATTATGTTTTATTTTTATTATTTTATTATTTCCCTTCTACGTGACTTTACCGAAAGAACCAAGAAGATGAATCCCTGCAGTCACGGAAGCTTTAAATCGAAAATCCCCCGTGTAGCCTTATTAGATTGTTGGGGCAAGTGCTGTTAGCGAGCACCTATGAAGGCCGGCACAGCACATGAGGGGGTGGGTGGCCAACACCACGCCCGGCCGCCTTTGTCTCCCCAGTGACGATATTTACACACCACAACCCAGGTAGACATTTGAGGCTGAGTCGACCTAGGGGAGGCTCAGGATCGGTTCAGATAATCGTCAATGGTGTTGGTGGCCGTGAGCGGGAATCGAACTCGGGTCGCCGGGTTCGTAGCACAGCGTAGCGCTAACCGCTGCACCACCGCTCCCCCAGACTCACACTCTCTCAATCACACCAAACGGCAAAAATCTCCCGCATAGCCTCCACAGACTGATGGGGCAAGTGCTGTTAGCGAGCAGCACCACCTATGAAGGCCGGCACACCGCTCCCCACACACACACACACAGTGGGGAGCGGTGGTGCAGCGGTTAGCGCGCTGCGCTACGAACCCGGCGACCCGAGTTCGATTCCTGCACACGGGCAACACCTGTGACGATTATCTGAACCGGTCCTGGGCTTCCCATAGGTCGACTCAGCCTCAAATGAGTACCTGGTGCGGTGTGTAAACATCGCCACCCACCACTTTGTGCGCCGTGCCGTGCTTCATTGGTGCCACTCGCCAAACAGCACTTGCCCCAAACAGTCTGTGGAGGCTATACGGGTGATATTTGTCTTTGTCACACACACACACACATGCCGACTCGTGTACCCACACATACACACGCAACCAACTGAATGATAACATGCACCCCCCCCCCACCACCAACCTTGCTGAAAAATGCGTCTACTAATCTATTCGTTCAGTACGATTAATAATCTGGTAGTCTTGCACTTGTCACGCTTCTTCTGCACGAGGGCTATTTGACCACACTGCACCACGCTGAGATGTTGGGTTCTACATATCTCTCCCCGCTCGACGTTAACCGGGCGTCCAACTCGATCGCTCGCAACATCGAGATATCGGAGCAGAGAAAATCAAATATACATTCGAGCAGAGGCTGCCAGACAGAAACTAGAGCAGTGACGATCAGATAGAAATCAGAGCAGAGACGATCAGACAGAAATCAGAGCACAGAGACGATCAGACAGAAATCAGAGCAGAGACGATCAGACAGAAATCAGAGCAGAGACGATCAGACAGAAATCAGAGCAGAGACGATCAGACAGAAATCAGAGCAGAGACGATCAGACAGAAATCAGAGCAGAGACGATCAGACAGAAATCAGAGCAGAGATGATCAAACAGAAATCAAAGCAGAAACGATCAGATTGAAATCAGAGCAGAGACGATCAGACAAAATCAGAGCAGAGACGATCAGACAGAAATCAGAGCACAGAGACGATCAGACAGAAATCAGAGCAGAGACGATCAGACAGAAATCAGAGCAGAGACGATCAGACAGAAATCAGAGCAGAGACGATCAGACAGAAATCAGAGCAGAGATGATCAAACAGAAATCAAAGCAGAAACGATCAGATTGAAATCAGAGCAGAGACGATCAGACAAAATCAGAGCAGAGACGATCAGACAGAAATCAGAGCAGAGACGATCACACCAAAATCAGAGCAAAGACGATCAGACAGAAATCAGAGCAGAGACGATCAGATAGAAATCAGAGCAGAGACGATCAGACAAAATCAGAGCAGAGACGATCAGACAGAAATCAGAGCAGAGACGATCACACCAAAATCAGAGCAGAGACGATCAGACAGAAATCAGAGCAGAGACGATCAGACAGAAATCAAAGCAGAGACGATCAGACAAAATCAGAGCAGAGACGATCAGACAGAAATCAGAGCAGAGACGATCACACCAAAATCAGAGCAGAGACGATCAGACAGAAATCAGAGCAGAGACGATCAGATAGAAATCAGAGCAGAGACGATCAGACAGAAATCAGAGCAGAGACGATCAGACAGAAATCAGAGCAGAGACGATCAGACAGAAATCAGAGCGGAGACGATCAAACAGAAATCAGAGCGGAGATGATCAGACAGAAATCAGAGCAGAGACGTTCAGACAGAAATCAGAGCAGAGACGATCAGACAGAAATCAGAGCAGAGACGATCAGACAGAAATCAGAGCAGAGACGATCAGACACAAATCAGAGCAGAGACCATCAGACAGAAATCAGAGCAGAGACGATCAGACAGAAATCAGAGCAGAGACGATCAGACAGAAATCAGAGCAGAGACCATCAGACAGAAATCAGAGCAGAGACGATCAGACAGAAATCAGAGCAGAGACGATCAGACACAAATCAGAGCAGAGACGATCAGACAGAAATCAAAGCAGAGACGATCAGACAGAAATCAGAGCAGCGACGATCAGACAGAAATCAGAGCAGAGATGATCAGACAGAAATCAGAGCAGAGACGATCATACAGAAATCAGAGGAGAGACGATCAGACAGAAATCAGAGCAGAGACGATCAGACAGAAATCAGAGCAGAGACGATCAGACAAAAATCAGAGCAGAGACGATCAGACAGAAATCAGAGCAGCGACGATCAGACAGAAATCAGAGCAGAGACGATCAGACACAAATCAGAGCGGAGACGATCAGATTTAGATCAGTGGGGTGGGTAGTGTGGGTGGTATGGTGTGGGTGGTGTGGGTGGTGTGGTGTGGGTGGTGAGGGTGGGGTGGGTGGGGTGGGTAGTGTGGGTGGTGTGGGTGGTGTGGGTTGGGTGGTGTGTGTGTGTGGTGTGTGTGGTGTGTGTGGTGTGGGTGGTGTGTGTGGGTGGGGTGGGTGGGGTGGTGTGGTGTGTGTGTCTGGGGTGGGTGGTGTGGGTGGTGTGTGTGGTGTGGGTGGTGTGGGTGGGGCGGGGTGGGTGGGTGGTGTGTGGGGTGTTTGGTGTGGGGTGGGTGGGGTGGGTGGGGTGGCTGGGGTGGGTGGTGTGGTGGAGTGGGTGGGGTGGGTGGGTTGGGTGGGGTGGTCTGGGTGGTGTGGGTGGGGGTGGGTGGTGTGTGTGGGTGGTGTTGGTGGTGTGGGTGGAGTGTGTGGTGTGTGTGGAGTGGGTGGGGTGGCGTGGGTTCGGGTGTGTAGTGTGTGGGGTGGGGTGGTGTGTGTGGTGTGGTGTGTGTGGGTGGGGTGGGTGGGTGGAAGGGGCAATGATTGAACAGTGCCCGCTACCGTTCGTGACCTTTTCTCGCCCTGTAAGCGCTCGAGCGAGCAGAGTTGACACCTCTCGACCAGAGACCCCCACCCCCTCCTCCTCCTCCATCGCCACCCACCCCCAAGCACTCACAATTCTCACGGCCACACACCACAGGGACATGCTGGGGCCACGCTTCGAGCGGCTCTCTGCTGTATAAAAATGATCCGTAAGGGACCCTTCTAATCACTCACTCCTCCATTCTCGCTTCCAATCACTCACTCACTCCTCCATTCTCGCTTCCAATCACTCACTCACTCCTCCATTCTCGCTTCCAATCAATCACTCACTCCTCCATTCTCGCTTCCAATCACTCACTCACTCCTACATTCTCGCTTCCAATCAATCACTCACTCCTCTATTCTCGCTTCCAATCACTCACTCACTCACTCCCCCATTCTCGCTTCCAATCTCTCACTCACTCACTCCTCCATTCTCGCTTCCAATCACTCACTCACTCCTACATTCTCGCTTCCAATCAATCACTCACTCCTCCATTCCCGCTTCCAATCACTCACTCACTCACTCTCCCATTCTCGCTTCCAATCTCTCACTCACTCACTCCTCCATTCTCGCTTCCAATCACTCACTCACTCCTACATTCTCGCTTCCAATCAATCACTCACTCCTCTATTCTCGCTTCCAATCACTCACTCACTCCTCCATTCCCGCTTCCAATCACTCACTCACTCACTCCCCCATTCTCGCTTCCAATCTCTCACTCACTCACTCCTCCATTCTCGCTTCCAATCACTCACTCACTCACTCCTCCATTCTCGCTTCCAATCACTCACTCACTCACTCCTCCATTCTCGCTTCCAATCACTCACTCACTCACTCCTCCATTCTCGCTTCCAATCACTCACTCACTCCTCCATTCTCGCTTCCAATCACTCACTCACTCACTCCTCCATTCTCGCTTCCAATCACTCACTCACTCACTCCTCCATTCTCGCTTCCAATCACTCACTCACTCACTCCTCCATTCTCGCTTCCAATCACTCACTCACTCACTCCTCCATTCTCGCTTCCAATCACTCACTCACTCCCTTCTCGCTTCCAATCAATCACTCACTCCTCCATTCTCGCTTCCAATCACTCACTCCTCCATTCTCGCTTCCAATCACTCACTCCTCCATTCTCGCTTCCAATCACTCACTCCTCCATTCTCGCTTCTAATCACTCACTCACTCCTCCATTCTCGCTTCCAATCACTCACTCCTCCATTCTCGCTGATCACTCACTCACTCCTCCATTCTCGCTTCCAATCACTCACTCACTCATTCCTCCATTCTCGCTTCCAATCACTCACTCACTCCATCCTCCTCGTCAACTCGCTCTGCTAACCGAATGTCAAGTTGCGGATTTGGGAATTTTGGATGGTGGTGGTGGTGATGGTGGTAGGGGCAGGGTAGAATTTCGCCCGGTTCTTCGGGGAATCTCAGAGGAGACGAACCCACGTTTGTTGAGTCCCACGGTGACTCACTCCCCGGTGGTTTATTTGTATTTATTTATTTTTACTCGGAGGAATTCGAGACGAGATTCCACTGCCCCCCCCCCCCTCCATTCCTCTGTGGTCGCTGACGCCACATTGCGTCGTTTTATTTTGAGTCTCTTCTTCAAACTCGGGAAAAAAATCATCATCACTACCGTTGTCCTGACTTCAACCGATTAGATCATCCGCGTTGAGTGAAAGCTGCGAGTCCAAGACGTCACCAAGCATCGGATCTACATCTCACATCAGCTCACATAAGATCACATCTCACATCACAGCTCTGAGGTCGTGTTGAACCACCGTTATCACCACCACCACCACCACCACCGTTCACACCACCACCGTTAGCACCACCACCGTAAGCACAACCACCTCCACTGCTGTTATCACCACCACCGTTAGCACCACCAAAAACACCACCACCTCCACCACAACCTTCACTACCATCTTCACTACCACCTCCACCTTCACCACCTCCACCATCGTTAGCACCACCACCTCCGCCACTTCCGCCACCTCCATCACCACCTCCATCACCTCCACCACCTCCACCACCAGCACCACCTCCACCTCCACCACCTTCACCACCACCTCCACCATCGTTAGCACCACCACCACCTCCACCACCTCCACCACCTCCACTACCTCCACCACCACCACCACCACCTCCACCATCACCTCCACCACCACCTCCACCACCACCACCACCAATGTCGCCGACTGCTGGCTCCTTCGTGGTGTGGGACTACCTGGTGTTCGCGGCCATGCTGCTCATCTCGGCGTCGATCGGAGTCTACTACGCCATTGTAGCCCGTGGCCAGCAGAGCACGGAGGAGTTCCTGACGGGCGGACGGCAGATGGGAGCCTTGCCCGTGGCGTTGTCGCTCACCGCGAGTTTCATGTCGGCCGTGACGGTGCTGGGCACACCGGCCGAGGTCTACTGCTACGGGGCGATGTTCTGGATTTTCGGATTGACCTACGGCGTGGTGGTGGTGGTCACTGCCGAGGTTTATCTGCCCGTCTTCTATCGTCTGGGCATCACCAGCACCAACGAGGTTTGGCAACCAACCCCCGACTGACCTCTCCCCCCCAGCCCCCTTCCTTACCTTGTATGGAGTGGATCGTTGTCGAGCGTGATGTGTGTGCCTTCATCAGATGATGATCATGCTTCTTTGGATCTTTCGGTAAGGTCACGTGGGTATGAAATGAAATAAAAATAAAAAATCACGACGTTTCTATTGCAACACGAGCAATCATCATCAGGTAGGGGAAACACGCAAGAAAAAAAACCTTCAGCAAAAAAATGTCTTGCCGTGGTTTTCTCACCTGATGATGATTGCTTGTGTTGCAATCGAAACGTCGTGATTTTTATTTATTTTTGTATTTGTGTTTTATTTTTCTACCTACGTGACTTTACCGAAAGAATCAGAGAGTATGGATTCCTGCAGTCACGAAAGCTTCAACTCTATGACGATCATGATGATGGTCACCACCATCTGCATGTGCTACGAAGGGATGGATTAGTGCTTTGGAACCATGTGCTCTGAAAAAGGGCCGTTTCCCGAAACGTCACCTATTAAACGTCACGTGTTGAGTTAATTCCTTGTTTGTGCTGCTGCTGCTTCCAACGCAGCAGCGGCATCACCAAATAATTTGCCGACTGATGACGATCGTGATGACGATCACCACCATCATATTGATCGCCATCATCGTGATCATCATCATCATGATCACCATCATAATGATCATCATCTTGATCATCGTCATCATGATCATCATCATCATCATCATGATCACCGTCATAATGATCATTATCCTGATCGTCATAATGATCATCATCATCATGATCATCATCCTGATCATCGTCATCATGATCACCATCACAATGATCATCATCCTGATCATCATCATCATGATCACCATCACAATGATCATTATCTTGATCATCATCATAATGATCATCATCATGATCACCGTCACAATGATCATCATCCTGATCATCATCATCATGATCACCATCACAATGATCATTATCTTGATCATCGTCATTCTGATCATCATCATCGTGATCACCATCACAATGATCATCATCCTGATCATCGTCATCATGATCACCATCATCATGATCACCATCATCATGATCACCATCATCATGATCACCATCATAATGATCATCATCATGATCACCATCACAATGATCATCATCTTGATCGAGTGGGAGGAGTCGTTCGTTCACCAGGCGCGTGGCAAATTGAACGTCAGCTACATGATGACGACGATGCTGCTGATGATGATGATCAGGAAGATGATCGTTATGATTGCGATCATGGTCGTCGTCATCATGCTGATCATTATGGCGATGATCAGGATTCTGATCATTATGATGGTGATCGTCATCATGATGATGATCATTATGATGATGATCAGGATTCTGATCATTATGATGGTGATCGTCATCATGATGATGATCATTATGATGATGATCAGGATTCTGATCATTATGATGGCGATCATGCTGATGGTGATCACGATGATAAAGATGATGATCATTGTGACGGTGATCATGATGATGATGGCGATGACGGCGATCAATATGATGACCAGTATGGTGCTGTGATTGGCCCGTGCCAATCACAGTACCGTGTGGCCGAAACAAGTGACGTTTAATAGGTGGGGAGACAAAGGCGGTCGGGCATGGTGCTGGCCACCCACCCCCTCGTGTGCCGTGCCGGCCTTCATAGGTGCTCGCTAACAGCACTTCTGTTCAGGCTACACGGGGGATCTTTGTCTTTGACGGTGGTGATGGTGATGATGGTGATGATGGTGGTGATGTTGTGTCGTGTGGCGCGCGCATCAGTACCTGGAGAAGCGCTTCAACAAGACCGTGAGACTCGCGGGCACCTTCATCTACATCATCCAGACGGTGGGAGATGGTGGCGATGATGATGGTGGTGATGATGACGGTGGTGACGATAGTGGAGATGATGGTGGTGGTGATGATGGTGGTTGAGGTGGTGACATTGATTGTTGTGGCAATAATGAAACTTAACAATAGGTTGAGGATGATGGTGGTAGTGGTGGTGGTGATGATGGTGGTGATGATGATGGTGATGATGGTGGTGATGATGGTGGTGATGATGATGTTGATGATGATGAGTAACTAAGGATAGGAGATGATGGCGACGGTGGTGATGATGATGATGATGGTGGTGGTGGTGATGATGATGGTGGTGATGATGATGGTGGTGATGATGATGATGGTGGTGATGATGATGATGGTGGTGATGATGGTGGTGATGATGGTGGTGATGATGATGATGAGTAACTAAGGATACGAGATTATGGCGACGGTGGTGATGATGGCGATGATGATGGTGATGATGGTGGTGGTGATGGTGACAATAGTGGTGAAGATGGTGGTGATGATGATGGTGATGATGGTGATGATGATGATGTTGATGATGATGATTCACTTAAAGATACGAGATGATGGCGACAATGATGATGATGATGATGATGAGTCACTAAGGATACGAGATGATGGCGATGATGGTGATAATGGTGATGATGATGTTGGTGATGATGATGGTGATGATGATTCACTGAGAGATGATGGTGGTGGTGATGATGGTGGTTGAGGTGGTGACATTGATTGTGGTGGCAATGATGAAACTTAACAATAGGTTGAGGATGTTGGTGGTAGTGGTGATGATGATGGTGATGACGGTGTTGATGATGATGGTGATGATGTTGGAGATGATGATGGTGATGATTCACTGAGAATACTAGATGATGGTGGTAGTGGTGATGATGATGACGGTGTTGATGATGATGGTGATGATGTTGGAGATGATGATGGTGATAATGATTCACTGAGAATGCTAGATGATGGTGGTAGTGGTGATGATTATGATGACGGTGTTGATGTTGCTGGTGACGATAATTTAAGGATCGGGTTTGTTGTTCATGACATTGTTGATTGTGGTGGTTATGGTTGCGATGGAGGAAGATGTAAAAATAGTTTGATGTTAAGGGTGATGGTGGTAATGGTTACTAAAATGAACAGTAGTGTAGTAGTCTGCGTGCCGCGCTACGAACTCGGCGTTTTCCGAGTTCGATTCTCGCTCACGACCAACACAGGTCCTGATCCTCCCCTAGGTCGACTCAGCCTCAAACGAGTAACCTGGTGCGATGTGTAATCATCGCAGCCAGGGAGACAAGGCGGTCGGGCGTGGTGCTGGCCACCCACCCCCTCTCGTGTGCCATGCCGGCCTTCATAGCCGATGCCACTCGCTAACAGCACTTGCCCCAAAAGTCTGTTACAGTCTATGCGGAGGGGTTGGGAGAGGAATCTTTGTCTTTGTTTTTTGTTTACCAAAGTAACCACCTCCAACATCGCCACCTTCGCCGTCACGCATGGAGACGGCTGGTGGGTGGTTCATTGTTACAGCCGGTAGGGTGGAACGACCAACAACAGCGATTCGCACACCCAGCCAAGACGCTTATCAGCCCACGGCGCTACCCCCCACCACCCCCCACCACCCCCCACCACCCCCCACCACCCCCCACCACCCCCCCACGTGCATCTCCATCACGGGTCCCGGCCACGGTGACGTTGACACTGAACCCTAGGGGAGCCTTAGTCTGCCTCTGCAAACCTTCTGATTTCACATTGAACCCATGGGGAGCCTTAGTCTGGGTTAGTCGCTTGAATTATCACTGAACCCATGGGGAGCCTTAGTCTGGCTCAGTCGCTTGAATTGGCATTGAACCCATGGGGAGCCTTAGTCTGCCTCTGCGAACCTCCTGAATTCACATTGAACCCATGGGGAGCCTTAGTCTGCCTCTGCAAACTTCCTGATTTCACATTGAACCCATGGGGAGCCTTAGTCTGGCTCAGTCGCTTGAATTATCACTGAACCCTAGGGGAGCCTTAGTCTGGCTCAGTCGCTTGAATTGGCATTGAACCCATGGGGAGCCTTAGTCTGCCTCTGCGAACCTCCTGAATTCACACTGAACCCATGGGGAGCCTTAGTCTGGCTCAGTTAGTCTTTTGAATTGACATTAAACCCTGAGGGAGCCTTATTCTGGCTCAGTTAGTGGCTTGAATCGACCCTGAAACATAGGGAAGACTTAGTCTGGCTCTTTGAGCCTTTTTGAACGAACACTGAACAATAGGGGCCATTAGTCTGGCTCTTTGAGCCTTTTTGAATGAACACTGAACAATAGGGGGCCCTTAGTCTGTCTCTTTGAGCCCTTTTTGAATGAACACTGAACAATAGGGGGCCATTAGTCTGGCTCTTTGAGCCTTTTTGAATTAACACTGAACAATAGGGGGCTCTTAGTCTGGCTCTTTGAGCATTTTAAATGAACACTGAACAATAGAGGGGCCTTAGTCTGGCTCTTTGAGCCTTTTTAAATGAACACTGAACAATAGAGGGGCCTTAGTCTGGCTCTATGAGCCTTTTTGAATGAACACTGAACAATAGGGGGCTCTTAGTGTGGCTCTTTGAGCCTTTTTGAATGAACACTGAACAATAGGGGGGCCTTAGTCTGGCTCTTTGAGCCTTTTGAATGAACACTGAACAATAGGGGGCCTTTAGTCTGGCTCTTTGAGCCTTTTTGAATGAACACTGAACAATAGGGGGGCATTAGTCTGGCTCTTTGAGCCTTTTTGAATGAACACTGAACAATAGGTGGTCATTATTCTGGCTCTTTGAGCCTTTTTGAATGAACACTGAACAATAGGGGGCTCTTAGTCTGGCTCTTTGAGCCTTTTTAATTGAACACTGAACAATAGGGGGCCATTAGTCTGGCTCTATGAGCCTTTTTGAATGAACACTGAACAATAGGGGGGCCTTAGTCTGGCTCTTTGAGCATTTTTAAATGAACACTGAACAATAGGGGGCCCTTAGTCTGGCTCTTTGAGCCTTTTTAAATGAACACTGAACAATAGGGGGCCCTTAGTCTGGCTCTTTGAGCCTTTTTAAATGAACACTGAACAATAGGGGGGCCATGAGTCTGGCTCTTTGAGCCTTTTGAATGAACACTGAACAATAGGGGGCCATGAGTCTGGCTCTTTGAGCCTTTTGAATGGACACTGAACAATAGGGGGGCCATGAGTCTGGCTCTTTGAGCCTTTTTGAATGAACACTGAACAATAGGGGGCCATTAGTCTCTGGCTCTATGAGCCACGTGACAAGAGCTACACTTGATGTGGTGTGCCGGGGGTGAAACGGACATGCGTCTGGGTGCTCTGTGGTGAGGCCTAGTCGCTGGCTTCTTCACCGACAAGTCGTTGACTTCTTCACAGACGCTGTAGTCAATATTCAATGTCGCTGTGTTCTTCACAGACGCTGTATTCTATATTCAATGTCGCTGTCTTCTTCACAGACGCTGTACACGATATTCAATGTCTCTGTGTTCTTCACAGACGCTGTACACGATATTCAATGTCGCTGTCTTCTTCACAGACGCTGTAGTCAATATTCAATGTCTCTGTCTTATTCACAGACGCTGTAGTCAATATTCAATGTCGCTGTCTTCTTCACAGACGCTGTACACGATATTCAATGTCGCTGTCTTCTTCACAGACGCTGTACACGATATTCAATGTCGCTGTCTTCTTCACAGACGCTGTAGTCAATATTCAATGTCTCTGTCTTATTCACAGACGCTGTAGTCAATATTCAATGTCTCTGTCTTATTCACAGACGCTGTAGTCAATATTCAATGTCGCTGTCTTCTTCACAGACGCTGTAGTCAATATTCAATGTCTCTGTGTTCTTCACAGACGCTGTAGTCAATATTCAATGTCGCTAGTCTTCTTCACAGACGCTGTACACGATATTCAATGTCGCTGTCTTTTTCACAGACGCTGTACACGATATTCAATGTCTCTGTCTTCTTCACAGACGCTGTAGTCAATATTCAATGTCTCTGTGTTCTTCACAGACGCTGTACACGATATTCAATGTCTCTGTGTTCTTCACAGACGCTGTATTCAATATTCAATGTCGCTGTCTTCTTCACAGACGCTGTAGTCAATATTCAATGTCGCTGTCTTCTTCACAGACGCTGTAGTCAATATTCAATGTCTCTGTGTTCTTCACAGACGCTGTATTCAACATTCAATGTCTCTGTGTTCTTCACAGACGCTGTACACAATATTCAATGTCTCTGTGTTCTTCACAGACGCTGTACACAATATTCAATGTCGCTGTGTTCTTCACAGACGCTGTACACGATATTCAATGCCGCTGTGTTCTTCACAGACGCTGTACACAATATTCAATGCCGCTGTCTTCTTCACAGACGCTGTAGTCAATATTCAATGTCTCTGTGTTCTTCACAGACGCTGTACACGATATTCAATACCGATGTGTTCTTCACAGACGCTGTACACGATATTCAATGCCGCTGTGTTCTTCACAGACGCTGTACACAATATTCAATGTCGCTGTGTTCTTCACAGACGCTGTACACGATATTCAATGTCTCTGTCTTCTTCACAGACGCTGTACACGATATTCAATGTCGCTGTCTTCTTCACAGACGCTGTACACGATATTCAATGTCTCTGTGTTCTTCACAGACGCTGTACACGATATTCAATGTCTCTGTGTTCTTCACAGACGCTGTACACGATATTCAATGTCTCTGTGTTCTTCACAGACGCTGTACACGGGCATCGTGATCTTCGCTCCGGCTCTGGCCCTCAATCAAGGTGACCCGCACCGTGACGTCACACCCACGCCTTGTTGTTGACCTTCTGGTTGTGGTGGTGGTGGTGGCTGTGGTTGACATTGTTGTTGTTGTTGTTGTGGTTCGCTGTTGCGGTTGTTGATGTTTGCGTTGTCGTCACGTGGTGGGTGTTGTTTACGTTTTGGTCACGTGGTGGGTGTTGTTGTGGTTGTTGGATCACGTTGTGGTTCACGTGGTGGGTGTTATTGTGGTTGTTGTTGTTGTGGTGGTTGACGTTGTTGTTGCTGTTGTTGTGGCTCGCGTTGAAGTTGTTGGTTTACGTTGTGGTTTGCTGTTGTGGTTGTTGTTTACGTTGTGGTCACGTGGTGGGTGTTGTTGTTGTGGTTCACGTTGTGGTTCGCGTGGTGGGTGTTGTTGTTGCTGTTGTTGTGGCTCGCGTTGAAGTTGTTGGTTTACGTTGTGGTTTGCTGTTGTGGTTGTTGTTTACGTTGTGGTCACGTGGTGGGTGTTGTTGTTGTGGTTCACGTTGTGGTTCGCGTGGTGGGTGTTGTTGTTGCTGTTGTTGTGGCTCGCGTTGAAGTTGTTGGTTTACGTTGTGGTTTGCTGTTGTGGTTGTTGTTTACGTTGTGGTCACGTGGTGGGTGTTGTTGTTGTGGTTGTTGTGATGGTTCACGTTGTGGGTCACGTGGTGGGTGTTGTTGTTGTTGTTGACGTGGTGGTTGTTGTTGTTGTTGTTGTTATTGTTGACGTTGGGGTTCACATTGTGGTTGTTGGTTCACGGTGTGGTTCACGTGGTGGGTGTTGTTGTTGTTGTAGTTGTTGATGTTGTTGTTGTCTTTGTCCAGTGACGGGGTTCGACCTGTGGGGTGCCGTGGTGTCGACCGGCATCATTTGCACTTTCTACTGCACCATGGTGAGCACTTACCATCAACATCACCATCAACATCACCATCAACATCACCATCAACATCACCACCCATCAACATCGCCCATCACCATCAACATCACCATCAACATCACCCATCAACATCACCACCCATCAACATCGCCCATCACCATCAACATCACCATCAACATCACCACCCATCAACATCGCCCATCACCATCAACATCACCATCAACATCACCCATCACCACCCATCAACATCGCCCATCACTCATCACTATCACCATCACTATCACCCATCACTATCACCATCAACATCGCCCATCACCACCCATCAACATCGCCCATCACTCATCACCATCATCCATCACCCTCGGTGGATCGGTGGGTGGATGAGTGGATGGATGAGAATGTGGGTGGACGAGTGGGTTTGGTTGATGGGTGGGTGAGCAGATGAGTGGGTGCGTCGATTAGTGGGTGTGTGGGTGGATGGGTGGATGGATGGGTAGATAGATGAGTGGGTGGTTGGATAGGTGGGTGGATGAATGGGTGGGCAGGTGGATGAGTGAGTGGATAAGAATGTGTGTGGGTCGATGAGTGGGTCGGCTAATGGATGGGTTGGTGGAACGGTGTGTGTATGGGTGGGTGGGTAAGTGAGTGGATAGGTGGGTTGGTGAGTGGATGGGTGGGTGAGTGGACGGGTGGGTGGGTGAGTGGATGCATGGTTGAGTGGATAGGTGGGTAGGTGAGTGGATGGATGGGTGGGTAATTGGGTGAGTGGGTGATTGAATGTGTGGATGGGTGAGTGGATAAGTGGGTGGGTGAGTGGATGGGTGAGTGGATGGATGGGTGTTTGGGTGGTTGGATGGGTGGGTGAATACGTGTGGATGGGTGAGTGAATGTGTGGATGGGTGAGTGGATAAGTGGGTGGGTGAGTGGATGGGTGAGTGGATGGATGGGTGTTTGGGTGATTGGATGGGTGGGTGAGTACATGTGTGGATGGGTGAGTGAATGTGTGTATGGGTGAGTGGATAAGTGGGTGGGTGAGTGGATGGGTGAGTGGATGGATGGGTGTTTGGGTGATTGGATGGGTGGGTGAATTAATGTGTGGATGGGTGAGTGAATGTGTGGATGGATGGGTGAGTGGGCGAGTGGACGGACAGGCGGGCGATACGACCGGAGCGGCGTTTCTGAAAGGTCGATTGAGCGTCCACCCCCTCCCCCCCCCCTCTTGCCAGGGAGGCCTTAAGGCCGTAGTTTGGACCGACGTCTTCCAGGTGGGAATCATGGTGGCCGGTTTCGCGTCGGTCATCGTGCGCGGAGTCGTCGTGGTGGGCGACCTGAGTCACGTGTTCAACGTCTCCTCCGAGGGCGGCCGTCTCAACCTCCTCGAGTAAGAAAATCCATCTGTGCGGCGCTTCGAGCCTTATCTCCCACCCGGTGCGAGGGGGAGCGGTGGTGCAGAGGTTGGCGCGCCGCGCTGCGAACCCGGCGACCCGAGTTCGAATTCCCGGCCAACACCGGCGACGATTGTCTGAACCGATCCTGGGCCTACCCTAGGTCGACTCAACTTTAAATGAGTACCTGGTGCGGTGTGTAGTAAACATCGCCACTGGGGAGACAAAGGCGGCCGGGCGTGGTGTTGACCACCCCCCCCCCCCCCCCCCCGTGTGCCGTGCCTGCCTACCTAGGTCCTCGGCTAACAGCACTTGCCCCAACAGTCTGTTAAGGCTACACGGGGGATCTTTGTCTTTGTTTGGAGTTTTTCTCGACAATGTGAAAAACTCCACATTGGTGAGTCGATTGAAACATGCTCCTCTGCTCATTGTCCACCCTCAGAGGTTTCCACTTCGTTGTCCACCAGTTGCTATCCACCCGTTGCTTGACCACCTCTCATTGTTCACCCATAGTTGCCCACTGACCAATGTCCACCTCCGATTGTCCACCCATCAATGTCCCACATCTAAATCTCCCCACCAACCGTTGTCCACCTCTAAGTCCACCTCGCAAATATCCACCTGTCCCACCCCATCGCTGCTGACCTCTAAGCGTCGCCCAATCCTCATTGCCAAACCATCAAATTTCAGAATCCGATTGTCCACCCATCAATGTCCCACATCTAAATCTCCACCAATCGTTGTCCACCTCTAAGTCCACCTCGCAAATATCCATCGCTGCCAACCTCTAAGCGTCGCCCAATCCCCATTGCCAAACCATCTAATTTCAGAATCCGATTGTCCACCCATCAATGTCCCACATCTAAATCTCCCCACCAACCGTTGTCCACCTCGAAGTCCACCTCGCAAATATCCACCCGTCCCACCCCATCGATGCCGACCTCGAAGCATCGCCCAATCCTCATTGCCAAACCATCAAATTTCAGAAATCCGTCTGTCCACCGCTCATTGCGCCACGCACCATTGTTCACCCCCCCTCCCCACTCCACCCGCGCCAGTTTCGACCCGGACCCACGGCGTCGCCACACGTTCTGGACGATCATCGTGGGCGGAACGTTCACCTGGGCGGGCATCTACGGCGTCAACCAGTCCCAGGTGCAGCGCTACATCTCCTGCCGCAGCCTGCGACAAGCAAAGCTGTGAGTGCGTTTGGCGTTGCCACTGATTCTTCACGTTCTGTAGTTGTAGATGCTGCTGGTTCTTCACGTTCTGCAGATATATTTGCCACTTGTTCTTAATGTTATACAGATGTAGATGCCACTGGTTCTTCACGTTCTGCAGATGTAGATGCCGCTGGTTCTTCACGTTCTGCAGATGTAGATGCCACTGGTTCTTCACGTTCTGCAGATGTAGATCCTGCTGGTTCTTCACGTTCTGCAGATGTAGATGCCACTGGTTATTCACGTTCTGCAGATGTAGATGCCGCTGGTTCTTCACGTTCTGCAGATGTAGATCCTGCTGGTTCTTCACGTTCTGCAGATGTAGATGCCACTGGTTATTCACGTTCTGCAGATGTAGATCCTGCTGGTTCTTCACGTTCTGCAGATGTAGATGCCACTGGTTCTTCACGTTCTGCAGATGTAGATCCTGCTGGTTCTTCACGTTCTGCAGATGTAGATGCCACTGGTTATTCACGTTCTGCAGATGTAGATGCCACTGGTTCTTCACGTTCTGCAGATGTAGATCCTGCTGGTTCTTCACGTTCTGCAGATGTAGATGCCACTGGTTATTCACGTTCTGCAGATGTAGATGCCACTGGTTCTTCACGTTCTGCAGATGTAGATACCACTGGTTCTTCACGTTCTGCAGATGTAGATGCCACTGGTTCTTCACGTTTCTGCAGATGTAGATGCCACTGGTTCTTCACGTTCTGCAGATGTAGATGCCACTGGTTCTTCACGTTCTGTAGATGTAGATGCCACTGGTTCTTCACGTTCTGTAGATGTAGATGCCACTGGTTCTTCATGTTTTGCAGATATAGATGCCACTGGTTCTTCATGTTCTGTAGATGTAGATACCACTGGTTCTTCACGTTCTGCAGATGTAGATCCTGCTGGTTCTTCACGTTCTGCAGATGTAGATGCCACTGGTTATTCACGTTCTGCAGATGTAGATGCCACTGGTTCTTCACGTTCTGCAGATGTAGATCCTGCTGGTTCTTCACGTTCTGCAGATGTAGATGCCACTGGTTATTCACGTTCTGCAGATGTAGATGCCACTGGTTCTTCACGTTCTGCAGATGTAGATACCACTGGTTCTTCACGTTCTGCAGATGTAGATGCCACTGGTTCTTCACGTTTCTGCAGATGTAGATGCCACTGGTTCTTCACGTTCTGCAGATGTAGATGCCACTGGTTCTTCACGTTCTGTAGATGTAGATGCCACTGGTTCTTCACGTTCTGTAGATGTAGATGCCACTGGTTCTTCATGTTTTGCAGATATAGATGCCACTGGTTCTTCATGTTCTGTAGATGTAGATACCACTGGTTCTTCACGTTCTGCAGATGTAGATGCCACTGGTTCTTCACGTTCTGCAGATGTAGATGCCACTGGTTCTTCATGTTTTGCAGATATAGATGCCACTGGCTCTTCATGTTCTGTAGGTGTAGATGCCACTGGTTCTTCATGTTCTGCAGATGTAGATGCCACTGGTTTTTCACGTTCTGTAGATGTAGATGCCACTGGTTCTTCACGTTCTGCAGATGTAGATGCCACTGGTTCTTCACGTTCTGCAGATGTAGATGCTAATTCCCTTTGGCGCTCGTGTTTCTACTTTCTTGAAAGACTTACCAAGATATGTCTCGACAGTGGCTCTCTTCTTCTCTTCATAAGTCGTCTCGTGACAGGCAATAGCATCGTGAACAGCCGCAACTGGACACACGGGGACATTATGAGACCTCTTCTTGGTTCTTTCGTTAAAGTCACGTAGAAGGAAAATAATAAAATAATAAAAATAAAACATAATACAATTATTCTCACGACGTTTCGGCCACAACGCAAGCAGCCGTCCTCAGGTGAAGAACAGGTCTGTCGGTAAAGGCACGTAGAATGGGAAATAATAAAATAATAAACATAAAACATAATAAAATAATTCTCACGACGTTTCGGCCACAACACAAGCAGCCGTCTTCAGGTGGAGAAGAGATCTCTCATCTGTTCTCCACCTGAAGATGAATCCCTGCAGTCACGAAAGCTTCAAGTCTAGAATGTGTCTCTGTGGTATTGCCCCAGGTCTCTGTATTACAACCTGCTCGGCCTGTGGCTCATCCTGTCGTGTGCCGTGCTCTCCGGCCTCATCATGTTCACCATCTACCACGACTGCGACCCCTGGACCGCCGGCATCGTCGGTGCTTCTGACCAGGTGCGTCGCGGCTGCTGCTGCTGCTGCTGCTCCAGCTGCTTCAGCTGCTGCTGCTGCTTTAGCTGCTGCTGCTCCAGCTGCTGCTCCAGCTGCTGCTGCTTCAGCTGCTGCTACTTCTGCTGCTGCTGCTGCTGCTTCTGCTGCTGCTGCTCCAGCTGCTTCTGCTGCTGCTGCTGCTGCTCCAGCTGCTGCTGCTCCAGCTGCTGCTGCTTTAGCTGCTGCTGCTTCTGCTGCTGCTTCTGCTGCAGCAGCTGCTGCTGCTGCTTCTGCTGCAGCTGCTGCTGCTCCAGCTGCTGCTGCTGCTCCAGCTGCTGCTGCTGCTTCAGCTGCTGCTGATACTGCTGCTGCTGCTTCTGCTGCTGCTTCTGCTGCTGCTGTTGTTTCTGCTGCAGCTGCTGCTGCTTCCGCTGCTGTTGATGCTTCAGCTGCTGCTGATACTGCTGCTGCTTCTGCTGCTGCTGCTGCTGTTGTTTCTGCTGCAGCTGCTGCTGCTTCCGCTGCTGTTGATGCTCCAGCTGCTGCTTCAGCTGATGCTTCTGCTGCTCCAGCTGCTCCTGCTGCTGATGCTCCAGCTGCTGCTGCTGCTCCAGCTGCAGCTGCTGCTCCAGCTGCTGCTGATGCTTCAGCTGCCAACACTTGCCAGAGCTCTGCAGGTCACCCTCTGTTAAATCATTGTTTCATTGATACAATGTGTCTCATTGGTACAATGTGTCTCATTGGTACAATGTGTCTCATTGGTACAATGCGTTTCATTGGTACAATGCGTTTTATTGGTGCAATGTGTTTCATTGGTACAATGTGTTTCATTGGTACAATGTGTCTCATTGGTACAATGTGTCTCATTGGTACAATGTCTCATTGGTACAATGTGTTTCATTGGTACAATGTGTTCCATTGGTACAATGTGTCTCATTGGTACAATGTGTCTCATTGGTACAATGTGTCTCATTGGTACAATGTCTCATTGGTACAATGTGTTTCATTGCTACAATGTGTTTCATTGCTACAATGTGTTTCATTGCTACAATGTGTTTCATTGCTACAATGTGTTTCATTGGCACAATGTGTTTCAATGGTACAATGTGTTTTATTGGTACAATGTGTTCCATTGGTACAATGTGTCTCATTGGTACAATGTGTCTCATTGGTACAATGTGTCTCATTGGTACAATGTCTCATTGGTACAATGTGTTTCATTGCTACAATGTGTTTCATTGCTACAATGTGTTTCATTGCTACAATGTGTTTCATTGCTACAATGTGTTTCATTGGCACAATGTGTTTCAATGGTACAATGTGTTTTATTGGTACAATGTGTTTCATTGGTACAATGTGTTTTATTGCTACAATGTGTTTCATTGGTACAATGTGTTTCATTGCTACAATGCGTTTCATTGCTACAATGTGTTTCATTGCTACAATGTGTTTCATTGCTACAATGTGTTTCATTGCTACAATGTGTTTCATTGGCACAATGTGTTTCAATGGTACAATGTGTTTCATTGGTACAATGTGTTTCATTGGTACAATGTTTTATTGCTACAATGTGTTTCATTGCTACAATGTGTTTCATTGCTACAATGTGTTTCATTGGCACAATGTGTTTCAATGGTACAATGTGTTTTATTGCTACAATGTGTTTCATTGGTACAATGTGTTTCATTGGTACAATGTGTTTCATTGGTACAATGTGTTTCATTGATACAATGTGTTTCATTGCTACAATGTGTCTCATTGCTACAATGTGTCTCATTGGTACAATTTGTTTCATTGGTATAATGTGTCTCATTGCTACAATGTGTTTCATTGGTACAATGCGTTTCATTGCTACAATGTGTTTCATTGCTACAATGTGTTTCATTGGTACAATGTGTCTCATTGGTACAATGTGTTTCATTGCTACAATGTGTTTCATTGGTACAATGAGTTTCATTGGTACAATGCGTTTCATTGGTACAATGTGTTTCATTGGTACAATGTGTTTCATTGGTAAAATGTGTTTCATTGGTACAATGTGTCTCATTGCTACAATGCGTCTCACTGGTACAATGCATCTCACTGGTACAATGAAAATCAACATCACACATTTAGAGCATTTGGCTGCTATAACATTTCACCTAATCATCCTGCTACCGCTGATGATAGCTGTTGATTCTGTTGATGCAGATTATGCTATTGTTGCTGTTGCCGATGATGATGGCTGATGATGCTGCTGATGGAGATGATGTTATTGTTGCTATTGCCGATGATGATGGCTGATGATGCTGCTGATGATGATCCTGCTGTTGATGATGATCATGCTGATGATGATCCTGCTGCTGATGATGCTCGTGCTGATGATGATACTGGTGATGCTGCTGCTGCTAACGCTGATGACGACGCTGCTGATGATGACCGTGCTGATGATGACACTGGTGATGTTGCTGCTGCTGCTAACGCTGCTGCTGCTGCTGATGATGATGTTGACGCTCTTGGTGTTCATCTGCAGCTCATCCCCTACTTGACCCTCGACATCCTGCGGGATTTCCCTGGCGTCCCAGGCCTCTTCGTGGCCTGCGCCTACAGCGGAACGCTCAGGTGAGTGAGATGTTGACTACCTCGCCTGGTGCACAGGAGGTCGTGGGTTCGATCCCGACCCTGTTTGCGTCTCTCTCTCATTATCATCATCATCACGGTGGCGAGGAGATGTTAACTACCTCGCCTGGTGCACAGGAGGTCGTGGGTTCGATCCCGACCCTGACGCCTGCTGCTGTATATTTGGAGTTTGCGTCTCTCATCATCATCACGGTGGCGAGGAGATGTTAACTACCTCGCCTGGTGCACAGGAGGTCGTGGGTTCGATCCCGACCCTGACGCCTGCTGCTGTATATTTGGAGTTTGCGTCTCTCATCATCATCACGGTGACTAGGAGATGTTAACTACCTCGCCTGGTGCACAGGAGGTCGTGGGTTCGATCCCGACCCTGACGCCTGCTGCTGGATATTTGGAGTTTGCGTCTCTCTCTTTCTCGTGAAGGGCAGTGGGTGGTGAGGGGGCAGTGGGTGGTGAGGGGCAGTTGGTGGCGAGGGGGCAGTGTGTGTGTGCATGTGTGTGGGTGTGTGGGTGTGTGCGTGTGTGTGGGTGTGTGCATGTGTGTGGGTGTGTGGGTGCGTGTGTGTGCGTGTGTGTGTGCGTGGGTGTGTGTGGGTGTGTGTGTGGGTGTGTGCGTGTGTGTGTGAGTGGTGGTGGGTTGAGCGTGTGTGAGAGAGTCTGGGTTCGTGCCGGATGATCCTGGTAGCACAAGTAGCTACTACATGTGCAGTAACTACTACACGTGTAGTAGCTACTACACGTGTAGTAGCTGCACGTGTAGTAGCTACACGTGTAGTAGCTACTACACGTGTAGTAGCTACTACACGTGTAGTAGCTGCACGTGTTGTAGCTACACATGTAGTAGCTACACGTGTAGTAGCTACACATGTAGTAGCTACACGTGTAGTAGCTGCACGTGTTGTAGCTACACATGTAGTAGCTACACGTGTAGTAGCTGCACGTGCAGTAGCTGCACGTGTAGTAGCTGCACGTGCAGTAGCTGCTACACGTGTAGTAGCTGCACGTGTAGTAGCTGCACGTGCAGTAGCTGCACGTGTAGTAGCTCCACGTGCAGTAGCTGCACGTGCAGTAGCTGCACGTGTAGTAGCTGCACGTGCAGTAGCTGCTACACGTGTAGTAGCTGCACGTGTAGTAGCTGCACGTGTAGTAGCTGCACGTGCAGTAGCTGCACGTGTAGTAGCTGCACGTGCAGTAGCTGCACGTGTAGTAGCTGCACGTGCAGTAGCTGCTACACGTGTAGTAGCTGCACGTGTAGTAGCTGCTACACGTGCAGTAGCTGCACGTGTAGTGGCTGCTACACGTGCAGTAGCTGCACGTGTAGTGGCTGCTACACGTGCAGTAGCTGCACGTGTAGTGGCTGCACGTGTAGTAGCTGCTACACTATACACTCAACACTACGCTATACACTACACTTTATACTACACTCTACACTACACTTTATACTACACTATACACTACACTATACACGCATGGGGTGTTCTCAGGCCCCGTTGTTTAAGTGCGCCTGTAAATCCACTTCATTGTTCGTATTATTATCATTGGGGGAGCACAGGTGCGAGTGAGATAGTGGTGGTGGTGGTGGGGGGGCAGCAGGGCAGGTGAGACGACTAAGAAAGAACATCCATTTGACACGAAACCCCTTTCAAAAGCACTTTGGCCCCAGCAGTTTAAACACGAACCCAAGTGGATCTTGACTACGTGGAGTGTGTCTGCGCGTTCGTGTGTGTGTGTGTGTGCTCAGCTCTCAGTGAAGTACCTGATACGGGTGTGTGAACACCGGCACTAGGGAGACAAAGGCCCCCATAGAGACCGATAGAGAAAGTAAGAGACGCATGGAGACTAGAGGTCGCAACTGGGTACCCGATACCCGTACCCTACCCGATACCCGGCTACTCGTACCCTACCGGGTACAGGTACCCGTTTGCGACCCTGGTGCGGCCGGGTACGGGTAGGCCGTGAGTCACTGGTGAGTCACCGTTTGTCACTCATTTCCCAACGTCTTGTCTCTTCTCACAATTCAAGTTCCTAGAATCAACCCACCCGCGCCTGCAACATGGCTTCATTCCAGAGGTCGCAATCGGGTACCCGATACCCGTACCCTACCCCTACCCGTACCCAGCCGGGTACGGGTAGGGTACGGGTACCCGTTTGCGACCCTGGTGCGGCCGGGTACGTGTAAGGAATCAAAACCCGTTTGCGACCTCTGATGGAGACCCAGAGATACCCACCGAGATCGCACATTAAACCCACGTGTTGCCTGCCATCCTTTGAGAGAGGAACAGTAACAGGACGGGAACTCAAACCTGTGATCCCTTATCAGTGCCCTACCTTATTACAGACCAATTCAGAACTTATCAGTCACCCCGTGCCACTTATAAATCTCAGCGTTCATCCTACAAAGTCCCATCACAAGGGAGAAACACTAAACGAATAGACGATCACCACCACTACACTCACCACTACACTCACTACTACTACACTCACCACTAGTACACTCACCACTACACTCACCACTAGTACACTCACCACTAGTACACTCACCACTACTACACTCACCACCACTAGTACACTCACCACTAGTACACTCACCACTACTACACTCACCACCACTAGTACACTCACCACTACTACACTCACCACGAGAACACTCACCACTAGTACACTCACCACTAGGACACTCACCACTACGACACTCACCACTACACTCACCACCACTACACTCACCACTAGTACACTCACCACTACACTCACCACCACTACACTCACCACTAGTACACTCACCACTAGTACACTCACCACTAGTACACTCATCACTAGCACAAACACTACGAGTACACTCACCACTAGCACACTCACCACTAGCACACTCACCACTGCATCCCTGTCAACCTCTTATCAGTGCCCTACCTTATTACGGACCAATTCAGAACTTATCGATCACCCCGTGCCACTTATAATCTCAGCGTTCATCATACATCACAGTCCCATCACAAGGGAGAAACACCAACGAATAAACGCAATTTTTGTTTTGCCCGTATTGAAACGGCTGTGCGCCTATGGACCTGAAAAAACTCAATTTCCCTGTACAAGAAAACGGGGTAAAACCGTGCGGGTTGACACGGTATACAAACTTTCTCTCTCTCTGCTGAAGCCTCTCTCGTCTTTGGGCAGCAGCAGCCAGCAGATCTCAACATTGGCACAGCAACTACTGCTCTTGTCACCATTGACAGGCAGACGAGAGTTTAGCGATGCACGTGTTGAACGTTGTGCTGGTGATGCTGCTACTGCTGCTGCTGTTGTTCTTATTATTATTACGAGGTTGAATATCGATGTGGCGTCGTTAAACCCCGCAGCCAACCCCGACACACGAAGCCGATGAGTAAAAATGGTTCGTCGCGTAGACAAAACGTGGACAGTGCGTTACCCAGTTTGGCATACACCGGTAGTAGTGATAATAAGAACAACGATAATGAACACATTTCTGCGGAGGGAGCTGGTAGGAACGTTGGGTTGCTCGGTCAATGGCCTGCAGGGTCAACGGCGGCGTGGTGTATTCCGCAAATATGCCCGACTGTGAGGGCGGGCACAAGCCGGCGTGAGTAGGTGAAACGTTGAGTTTTATAAGGGCACCACGGGGTGACCAGCCCCTCCCCACCCAGCCCCTCCCCACCCAGCCCCACCCCTCCCACCCCCCACCCAGCCTCACCCTCCCCACCCAGCCCCTCCCCCCGCTCCCCACCTAGCCCCTCCCCACCCTCCCCACCCAGCCCCTCCCCACCTAGCCCCTCCCCACTCAGCCCCACCCCCACCCAGCCCCTCCCCACCCTCCCCTCTTTACCCAGCCCCACCCCTCCCAATTTTTGGATGCACGACGGACGGACACAATAATCCCCTGTGGGCTGGTGGAACCAGGAGGTTCCTACCAGTGTAATTCCATTTATAGAGCGGCTCTTCATCAAGGATATCAAAGCGCTGTACAGGACATAGCAGCAGCTGCATAAAAATAATGACATTATTAATACAAAAAATGAAAATCCATTTACTAAATGAACTCAAAGTTGAATAAGCGGAAGCGTTTAAAAATATGGGTTTAAAAAAAAACGCAATTTTTAAACAAAATTGTGCTCCAGACAGAGAGAGAGATTTTTCGATTTAAAGCTTTCGTGACTGCAGGGATTCATCTTCTTGGTTCTTTCGGTTAAAGTCACATAGAATGGAAATAATAAAATAATAAAAATAAAACAGACCTGGTATTCACCTGAGGACGGTTGCTTGCGTTGTGGCCGAAACGTCGTGAGAATTATTTTATTAGGTTTTATTATTTTATTATTTCCATTCTACGTGACTTTACCGAAAGAACCAGGAAGAAGAGAGAGAGAGATCTTTCCGATGTTTCGTGGAAGAGCGTTCCACAGCCTGGGGGCTGACACGGGAAAATAAATCACGGTCGGAAACATAATCCCCCAAGGCTGGTAATTATGATATATAATATTCAAATGTGCTCAAAATGTCCCCGCCTAATATATTGCTATAAACAAAATAATGTCTATGCTTTGTAAATAAAAATAACAATTTGCTAAACCTTGGCCACAATATCTGGACTTGTTTTCATATAAATCAATGCATAGATTTCTTTTTCGATGTAAAGCTTTCGTGACTGCAGGGATTCATCTTCTTGGTTCTTTCGGTAAAGTCACGTAGAAGGGAAATAATAAAATAATAAAAGTAAAACATAATAAATTACTTATTTTATTTTCACGTAGAAGGGAAATAATAAAATAAAAATAAAAATATTACATAATAAAATAATTATTTTATTATGTTTTATTTTAAAATAATTATTTTATTATGTTTTTTTATTTGTATTTTATTATTTCCCTTCTACGTGACTTTACCGAAAGAACCACGAAACATATATTTCTGTTCATATGATTGTGGTTATGGTTGTACTTTATCAATCCCTAATCTCTGCCATTACATACAACGATACAAGAAATGGTAAAAAAAAAGTAAAAACAGAGCCATGTAATTCAATGCACTATTAGACATTATTGGTAAATTCTAGATGTGAAGCTTTCGTGACTGCAAGGATTCATATTCTTAGTTTTTTTCGGTAAAGTCACCGTGTAGGTAAAGCATTAAAATTAATAAAAGTAAAATAAAATAAAAATAACGACGTTTTGGAGGCAACACAAGCTGTCGTGGCTGTGACGGTTCCACCTGAAGACGGAAGCTTGTGTTGCCTCCGAAACGTCGTGATTTTTATTTTATTTTACTTTTATTAATTTTAATGTTTTACCTACCTGGTGACTTTACCGAAGAAACCTAAGAATATTATTGGTAAATATAAATAAAAAGTCCATCCCATGTGTGAGTGATTTTTTTAATATTTTAGGCAGAAAATTTTGATATTTTTCTGGGTTGGGACCCCCAGACCCCCTGGAAGATTTGGTCCCCCCCAATGTTGACACCATGGCTACGGCCTTGGCATCCCCCGTATCTTAGTAGACCTTGAGGGGGGGGGGGCAGGGGGGGGTAACGTGTCCTTGTCACTGCGGTGTTTGTCGGAGAGTGTGGCCCCGCACACGCGAGGTTGAGCTACGAGAACCGTGGCGATTCGTCGGATGATGACGACTACGACAACTACAACCTGCTTCATCAGGTGATAACCAGAAAGTTTGTCTTCGTGCCACCCCCCTACCCCCCCCACGTCCTACCCCCCCCCCCACGTGCCCCCCCACCCCCCCCCACGTGCCCCCCCCCACGTGCCCCCCCCCCCCCACGTGCTCAGCACGGTCTCCTCCAGCATCAACGCTCTGGCCGCCGTGACGGTGGAGGACCTCGTGAGGCCGTGCTGCCCGGGCCTCGACCCACGCACCCTCTCGCGCCTCTCCATGGCCGCCAGTACGTAAGGGGGGGGGGCGGGGGGGGCGGGGGGGCGGGGGGGGTGGGGGGCCCCCCCCTTTTTTGGTGCCTTCAGTTGTGCCAGGAGACGTCGTCGGGGTTTGCCCGCTGGGTCGCGCGGTGTCCCTTTAAAGCGCGCAACTCGCGGGGCCGGGGGTTTCGTCCTCGTTGGGACTCATCAGCGTAGACCGCTATCGTAACAGGGGCAGTGGTGAGACAAAGTGGCGACTGTGGGCCGGGTTTCATGCTCATTAGGAATCATCAGCGTAGACCGCTATCAGAACGGGGGCAGCGTTGAGACAAAGCGCGCAAATTGTGGGCCGGGTTTCATTCTCACTGGGACTCATCAGTGCAGACCGCCATCGTAACAGGGCAGTAGTGAGACAAAGTGGCGACTGTGGGCCGGGTTTCATTCTCACTGGGACTCATCAGTGTAGACCGCTATCGGAACAGAGCAGTAGTGAGACAAAGTGGCGACTTGTGGGCCGGGTTTCATCCTCACTGGGACTCATCAGTGTAGACCGCCATCAGAACTGGGGCAGTGGGTGAGACAAAGTGGCGACTTGTGGGCGGGTTTCATTCTCACTGGGACTCATCAGTGTAGATCGCCTTCGGAACAGGGCGTGAGAATTGTATTTTATTATGTTTTATTTTTATTATTTTATTATTTCCCTTCTACGTGACTTTACCGACACACCTGTTCTTCACCTGAGGACGGTTGCTTGCGTTTGTGGCCGAAACGTCGTGAGAATTGTATTTTATTATGTTTTATTTTTATTATTTTATTATTTCCCTTCTACGTGACTTTACCGAAAGAACCAAGGAAATGAGCACAGCTCCTTCGGGAACCGCTCAAGGCTGTTTTTCTCTTTAAAAAAAAATTTTGCACAACAACAACAACGACAACAACAACAAACAGCAGCAGAGGCAGATTGCCTCGCGCCACGTGGCGTGTCACGCGACACCTCGCTCCTGGTAACCCAACGCGCTCTGATTCCTCGCTCACCCCTCCCCTCCCCCCAGGCCTCCTCTACGGCGTTGTGTGCATCGCCATGGCGGTGTTGGCGTCTGTCATGGGCAGCCTCCTACAGGTGAGGGCAGCGTCGCACCACCCCCACCCCCCCAGGGGGCAGCGTCTCAGAGGGAGCGTCACGGGGCAGGGTCTCAGGTGCAGCGTCCAAGGAATTCTAGATTTGAAGCTTTCGTGACTGCAACGATTCATACTCTTCGGGTGTTTTCCGTAAAGTCACGTGGGTGAAAAAATTATGATAAAATAAAATTATAATAAATGAAAATAAATTTCGATGTAAAGCTTTCGTGACTGCAGGGAGTCATCTTCTTGGTTCTTTCGGTAAAGTCACGTAGAAGGGAAATCATAAAATAATAAAAAATAAAACATAATAAAATAATTCTCACGACGTTTCGGCCACAACGCAAGCAGCCGTCCTCAGGTGAAAACCAGACGCTGTCGCCTCGACAGACCTGGTTTTCACCTGAGGATGGCTGCTTGCGTTGTGGCCGAAACGTCGTGAGAATTATTTTATTATGTTTTATTTTATTATTTTATTACTTCCCTTCTACGTGACTTCGCCGAAAGAACCAAGAAGATGAAAATAAATTATGATAAAATAAAATAATAATAAATGAAAATAACTGAATTAAATCACGACGTTTCGGAGGCAACACAAGTCTCCGTCTTCAGGTGGGACCGTCACAGCCAAATTGACTGTATCTTGATTTAATTCAGTTATTTTCATTTATTCTTATTATTTTATTGTATTATTATTATTTTACCTACGTGACTTTACCGAAAAAACCTTAGAGCCAGCGTCCAAGGGGCAGCGTCTCAGGGCAGCGTCACATGGGCAGTGTCCCAGGGGGCAGCGTGACAGGGCAACGTCCCAGAGGGCAGCGTCCACATATATTCTGTAACAGGCTGTAGGGGCAAGTGCTGTTAGCGAGTAGCAGCACCTATGAAGGCTACCGGCGCTGTGGCACACGAGGGGGTGGGTGGCCAGCACCACGCCCGTCCGCCTTTGTCTCCCCAAGTGGCGATGATCTTTCCACACCGCAAACGAGGTACTCATTTGAGGCCGAGTCGACCTAGGGGAAGCTTTAGGAGCGGTTCAGATGATCGTCACTGGCGGTGTTGACGATGATGATGACGATGATGATGACGATGATGATTATGATGATGATGACAATGATGATGATGATGACGATGACGATGATGATTATGATGATGATGACGATGATGACGACGATGATGACGATGATGATGACGACGATGATGACGATGATGACGATGATGATTATGATGATGACGATGATGATTGACGATGATGATGATGACGATGATGATGACGATGATGATGATGACGATAATGACGATGATGACGATGATGATGATGACGATGATGACGATGATGACGATGATGATGACGACGATGATGACGATGATGACGACGATGATGATGATGATGATGACGATGATGATGACGACGACGATGATGACGATGACGATGATGATGACGACGATGATGACGATGATGACGATGATGACGACGATGATGACGATGATGATGATCATGATGACGATGATGATGACGACGATGATGACGACGCTGACGATGATGACGACGATGATGATGACGATGACGATGATGATCATGACGCTGACGACGATAATGATGACGATGATGACAATGATGATGACGATGATGACGATGATGACGCTGACGATGATGACGATGATGCTGCTGCCACGTTCGTATGATGCGCCCCCGTGACTGCGAGGTTCGAGACGAGGTCGAGGGGTAGAGGGGGGCGAGGGGGACAAGGGGGAGAGGGGGACAGGAGGTCGAGGGCGACGAGAGGGCGAGGGGGACGAGGGGGCGAGGGGTGCGAGGACGCGAGCCCTGACGAGGCACGGCCTGCCCCAGGTGTGAGCGCGGCCCCGGGCAGGTGAGGACACCCCACGTGACGCGCGTGTTTGCTTTCTGCGCCGATTGTTGCAGGCGGCGCTCAGCATATTCGGCATGATGGGGGGTCCCCTGCTGGGCCTCTACACGCTTGGAATGGTGTTCCCCTACGCCAACTCCAGCGTGAGTCCAAGTGTGTGCGCGTGTTTGTTTTGTCCTGCCACCAAAGAGAGCGTGGGATCGGAGGTTGAGATTTGATTTGGATTTTTCGCTCCTCTAATTCTGGTGACCCGAAGTCACTCTCGCGCACGAGACTCTTCTTGCGTTTGCTCTCATTCGGTTGAACAAGATCACCATCTCATTCGCTCACCATCTCACTCGCTCATTCGCTTACCCACTCACCCACCCATCTGACTCACCCACCGCTAATTCACTCACCCACCATCTCACGCATCCACCATCTCATTCACCCACTCATTCATGCACCCACCCACTCATTCGCTCATCCACCATCTCACTCACCCACTCATTCATGCACTCACACACCATCTGACTCACCCTCTCATTCACCCACTCATTCATGCACTCACCCAACATTTCATTCACCCACTCATTCATGCACTCACTCACCATGTGACTCGCGCACTCATTCACCCACTCATGCATGCACTCACCCATAATCTCATTCACCCACTCATTCATGCACTCACCCACCATCTGACTCACCCACTCATTCACCCACTCATTCATGCACTCACCCACCATCTCATTCACCCACTCATTCATGTACTCACCCATGATCTCATTCACCCACTCATTCACCCACTCACCCACCATCTGACTCACCCTCTCATTCACCCACTCATTCATGCACTCACCCAACATCTGACTCATCCTCTCATTCACCCACTCATTCATGCACTCACTCATCTCATTCACCCTCTCATTCACCCACTCATTCATGCACTCACCCACCATCTCATTTACCCACTCATGAATGCACTCACCCATCATCTCATTCACCCACTCATTCATGCATTCACCCATCATCGCATTCCTCCACTCATTTATGCACTCACCCACCATCTCATTCACCCACTCATTCATGCACTCACCCACCATCTGACTCACCCACTCATTCATGCACTCACCCACCATCTGACTCACCCACTCATTCACCCACTCATTTATGCACTCACCCACCATCTCATTCACCCACTCATTCATGCACTCACCCACCATCTGACTCACCCACTCATTCATGCACTCACCCACCATCTGACTCACCCACTCATTCACCCACTCATTCATGCATTCACCCACCATCTCGCTCCCCCAATCATTCGTGGATCCACACGTATTTATTAACTCCACGCAGCCAGTCGTTCTTGCAAGCGAGACTAGCCTGGCATTTTTGAGTTCGCACCTGAATACACAAAATGAAAACGTGAATCGTGAACCCGCCCCTGCTACTGCTACTCTCCCTACTGCTGCTCCTGCTGCTACTGCTCCTGTTCCTGCTGCTGCTACTGCTGCTGCTGCTACTGCTGCTACTGCTCCTGTTCCTGCTGCTGCTGCTCCTGCTGCTGCTGCTACTGTTCCTGCTGCTCTGCTGCTACTGCTGCTACTGCTGCTGCTACTACTGCTCCTGCTACTGCTGCTGCTCCTGCTACTGCTGCTGCTGCTCCTGCTACTGCTGCTGCTCCTGCTGCTGCTGCTCCTGCTGCTGCTGCTGCTACTACTGCTCCTGCTACTGCTGCTGCTCCTGCTACTGCTGCTGCTGCTCCTGCTACTGCTGCTGCTACTACTGCTCCTGCTACTGCTGCTGCTCCTGCTGCTGCTGCTCCTGCTGCTACTGCTACTGCTGCTACTGCTCCTGCTACTGCTGCTGCTCCTGCTACTGCTGCTACTGCTGCTGCTCCTGCTGCTGCTGCTACTGCTGCTGCTGCTACTGCTGCTACTGCTCCTGTTCCTGCTGCTGCTGCTCCTGCTGCTGCTGCTCCTGCTGCTGCTACTACTGCTCCTGCTGCTGCTGCTACTGCTGCTGCTGCTCCTGCTGCTGCTGCTGCTCCTGCTGCTGCTACTGCTGCTCCTGCTGCTCCTGCTGCTGCTGCTGCTGTTGCTCCTGCTGCTGCTGCTGCTGCTCCTGCTGCTGTTGCTCCTGCTGCTGCTACTATTGCTGCTGCTGCTACTGCTGCCTGCCTGCCGTGATTGTGCGCTCCGTTGGCTGTCAGGGCGCCCTCGTGGGTCTGGCTCTGGGCTTCGGCCTCTCGCTGTGGCTGGGGGTCGGGGCCCAGGTCTACCCGCCGCTGGCCCACAGGACGATGCCCCTCGCGCTCTCCACGGCGGGATGCCGCCTCCTGAACGCGACGATGAGCAACAGCAGCAGCAGCAGCGGCGCACACGACTCGTACTCCTCGCCTGCTGATCATGGCAGGCGAGTGGGCAGGCGCAGACAGCACCAGCTGGCAACGCCACTACTACACCATCAACACTACTACACCACTACAACAACACTACTACACCACTACTACTACACCACCAACACCACTACACCACCATCACTACCACTACACCACCACCACCACCCCCACTACACCACCACCAACACCACCACTACCAACACCACCACCACTACCACACCAACACCACCACCACCCCCCACCACCCCCACCACCACCCACCAACACCACCCACCCACCACCACCCCCTACCGCCACCCCTCACCACCACCCCCCCACCACCCCACCATCCACCACCACCACCCACCCACCACCACCACCCCTCACCACCACCCCCCACCAAACTCCACCACCACCCCCACCACCACCACCCCCCCACCACCACCACCCCCCCACCAGACACACACACACCCACGTCGTAGCTCGAGAGCTACCCACACTCTACCCCACCACCACCACGACCACCACGTGACCTGCCTGCCCTGTACCACCACGTGACCTGCCTGCCCTGTACCACCACGTGACCTGCCTGCCCTGTACCACCACGTGACCTGCCTGCCCTGTACCACCACGTGAGTGAGGGGGGGTGGGGATTGACAAACTTGAACCTTTGACTGGCGAGTCCATCAATAACAACCCCATAGGAACATCCATTCACCTTCACACACAAAGACAAAGATCCCCCGTGTAGCCTTAACACACTGCAGGGGCAGGTGCCGTTAGCGAGTAGCAGCAGCACCACCCTATGAAGGCCGGCACGGCACACGAGGTGGTGGGTGGTTCAGCACCACGCCCGGCCGCCTTTGTCTCCCTCCTGGCGATGTTTACTAGACACCGCAGCAGGTACTCATTCGAGTCTGAGTCGACCTAGAGGTGGCCCAGGGCCGCTTCGATTCCCGCTCACGGCCAACATCGCCGACGATTTATCCGAAGCGGTCGTGGGCCTCCCCTAGGTCGACTCGGTGATGTTGGCCGTGAGCGGGAATCGAACCGGTCCTGGGCCTCCTCTAGGTCGACTCGGCCTCAAACGAGTAGCTGGCGCGGTGTGTAGTAAACATCGCCGTTGGGGAGACAAAGGCGGCCTGGGTGGTGTTGACCACCTACCGGCCCACGTGTGCCGTGCCGGCTTTTATTAAGTGTTCACGAACGGCACTTGCCCCCTAACAGGCAGTTCAAAGGCTATACGGAGGATGTTTATCTTTGTTTTCTGTCAGCTCAGTGTCTCTAAATCACACTACGCGTGACCACATGGGTGGCTCGGCTTGCGATGGGGGGGTGGGGGACGACTTCTAAGCCACGCAGGAACCACCTCAGCACGGCCCCAACACAGCTCGGATGTGCCAGTGGAAAAACAAAGAGCGGGTTAGCTTCATCATGGGGCCTCCTTTGCCAGTACCAAAATATACTAATAGTAAAATAATGAATACATTATTATTTTATTACTTCAATTCTACGTGACTTTACCGAAAGAACCAAGAAGATGAATCCCCGCAGTCACGAAAGCTTTAAATCGAAAAATACTAATAGTATATGATGACGCCTTTTGGCGTCATCTGGTCGAACGCCATGTGAGACTAGGCTCTAAAGAAAGCTGTCTCTGGTGTGGACCAATCAGTTTCAAAGACAATACATAAATTATCAGAGTATTGTTTTTTGTTTGCATTTGACTGCAAGTATTGTGGTCAATGTAGACATGATTCCTTGCAAAAGGTGTCAGTTTTGTTGCCAGAAAAAAGGGGAAACCCCCTATTAGTATATTTTGGTACTGGCAAAGGAGGTCCTATGATGTAGCTGCTCACCCCGAGCTCTCATTACTCTGGTAGTGCGGTGTCTTAGAACTGTGTGCCTTTTGGCGTCATCTGGTCGAACACCATATGATACTAGGCTCTAAAGAAAGCTGTCTGGTGTGGACCAATCAGTTTCAAAGACAATGCATACATTATCAGAGTATTGTTTTTTGTTTGCATTTGACTGCAAGTATTGTGGTCAATGTGAGCATGATTCCTTGCAAAGGTGTCAGTTTTACACCATTGGAACCTCATTTGCCAGTAAAAAATATCATTATTGTTTTTTTACCCTTCTATCTGGCAACAAAACTGACACCTTTTTTACAAGGAGTCATGTTTGCATAGACCACAATACCTGCAGTCATAATGCAAAAAAAACATAACTCTGAAAATGTGCACTGTCCGTTGAAGTTGATTGGTCCAGAGCCTAGTCTCACATGGGTTGAACCAGATGACGCCAAAAGGTGCACTAGGCTCTAAGGAAAGCTGTCTCGGGTGTGGACCAATCAACTTCAATGACAGTGCATACATTATCAGAGTTATGTTTTTGTTTGCATTATGACTGCAGGTATTGTGGTCAACGCAAACATGACTCCTTGTAAAAAGGTGTCAGTTTTGTTGCCAGATAAAAGGGTAAAAAAACAATTATCATATTTTTACTGGCAAATGAGGTTCCAATGGTGTAAATGCTTAACCCCAAGCTCTCATACTCTGATGGTGCATTGTCTTTGAGTTGTGCGCCTTTTGGCGGCATCTGGTCCAACATCATGTGAGACTAGGCTATAAGGAAAGCTGTCTCGGGTGTGGACCAATCAACTTCAAGGACAGTGCATATCATTATCAGAGTTATGTTTTTTTCTTCTTGGTTCTTTCGGTAAAGTCACGTAGAAGGGAAGTAATAAAATAATAAAAAAATAAAACATAATAAAACAATTCTCACGACGTTTCGGCCACAACGCAAGCAGCCGTCCTCAGGTGAAAACCAGGTCCACCTGAGGACGGCTGCTTGCGTTGTGGCCGAAACGTCGTGAGAATTGTTTTATTATGTTTTATTTTTTTATTATTTTATTACTTCCCTTCTACGTGACTTTACCGAAAGAACCAAGAAGATGAATCCCTGCAGTCACGAAAGCTTTAAATCGAAAGTTATGTTTTTGTTTGCATTATGACTGCAGGTATTGCGGTCTATGCAAACATGACTCCTTGTAAAAAAAGGTGTCAAATTTGTAGCCAGATAGAAGGGTAAAAAAACAATTATCACGGTGTCAGTTTTGTTGCCAGAAAAAAGGAGAAAAAAACCCCTATTAGTATATTTAGCGGGTTCGCTGTTACCGCTGAGATCCGCATTGTTCGGATTCGGATTCAGTGCGGATCCTTTGAGGGTGCTGAGTTGAGGGCCTTAGCCTCCGGTCACCACTGCCTACCTCAGTGGCCATCGTAACCGTCACTGGAGGTGCCCTAGACCAGAGCACACATCGTTAACACATCGCAAGGGGCTGGCAGACTGATGCACAGGGCCAGCTGCCACTGGGGGTCTCCTAGGCTGGGTCTACACAGCGGCAGCGATCATCGGCAAAGTGTCACTCGTCTGACTGGTTTCTCACCTGCTTGAACAAATCCACCTTTGATGAGGAAGGGTACAGCTCAGAGTTCGCAACCGGGTACCCGATACCCGTACCCTACCCGAGAACCGGCTATCCGTACCCGGCCGGGTACGGGTACGGGTAGCCGTTTGCGACCCTGGTGCGGCCGGGTACGGGTAGGCCGTGAGTCACTGGTGAGTAACCATTTGTCACTCATTTCGGGTAGGGAACGGGTACCCGTACCCGGCCATTTGCGACCCTGGTGCGGCCGGGTACGGGTACGGGTAAGGAATCAAAACCCGTTTGCGACCTCGGGTACAGCTACTTGGAGGTTGGGACCATGATGAGGAGATGAGACACGTGATGTGGAGGGTGGTGGAGGTAGTGATGGGTGGGACACGTGGTGTGGAGGGTGGAGGAGGTGATGGGTGGGACACGTGGTGTGGAGGGTGGAGGAGGTGGTGATGGGTGGGACACGTGGTGTGAGGGTGAAGGAGGTGGTGATGGGTGGGACACGTGGTGTGCAGGGTGGAGGAGGTAGTGATGGGTGGGACACGTGGTGTGAGGGTGGAGGAGGTGGTGATGGGTGGGACACGTGGTGTGGAGGGTGGAGGAGGTGGTGATGGGTGGGACACGTGGTGTGGAGGGTGGTGGAGGTGGTGATGGGTGGGACACGTGGTGTGCAGGGTGGAGGAGGTGGTGATGGGTGGGACACGTGGTGTGAGGGTGGAGGAGGTGGTGATGGGTGGGACACGTGGTGTACAGGGTGGAGGAGGTGGTGATGGGTGGGACACGTGGTGTGGAGGGTGGTGGAGGTGGTGATGGGTGGGACACGTGGTGTTCAGGGTGGAGGAGGTGGTGATGGGTGGGACACGTGGTGTGGAGGGTGGTGGAGGTGGTGATGGGTGGGACACGTGGTGTGCAGGGTGCAGGAGGTGGTGATGGGTGGGACACGTGGTGTGAGGGTGGAGGAGGTGGTGATGGGTGGGACGCGTGGTGTACAGGGTGGAGGAGGTGGTGATGGGTGGGACACGTGGTGTGCAGGGTGGAGGAGGTGGTGATGGGTGGGATGCGTGGTGTGCAGGGTGGTGAAGGAGGTGGTGATGGGTGGGACACGTGGTGTGGAGGGTGGAGGAGGTGGTGGTGGGTGGGACACGTGGTGTGGAGGGTGGAGGAGGTGGTGGTGGGTGGGACACGTGGTGTGAGGGTGGTGGAGATGGTGATGGGTGGGACACGTGGTGTGCAGGGTGGTGGAGGAGGTGGTGATGGGTGGGACACGTGGTGTGCAGGGTGGAGGAGGAGGTGGTGATGGGTGGGACACGTGGTGTGAGGGTGGAGGAGGTGGTGATGGGTGGGACGCGTGGTGTACAGGGTGGAGGAGGTGGTGATGGGTGGGATGCGTGGTGTGCAGGGTGGTGAAGGAGGTGGTGATGGGTGGGACACTTGGTGTGGAGGGTGGAGGAGGTGGTGGTGGGTGGGACACGTGGTGTGCAGGGTGGAGGAGGTGGTGATGGGTGGGACACGTGGTGTGCAGGGTGGAGGAGGTGGTGATGGGTGGGATGCGTGGTGTGCAGGGTGGTGAAGGAGGTGGTGATGGGTGGGACA